GAAAACTTGGCTTTCAGGAATTTGAACACAGTTGGCTATTAGCCATGAGTGTAGTCATCCATGGGAAGCATAACCCATGAGGCAGGGTTACCTAAATGTGCCTGATGCGCTTGGAAAAGAATAACGTACTGTGATGTTCCTGTATTATCTTGATTTGCAGAATGAAATCAGAATATCTGTCTGTATTTTATAGGAGAAAAGTACATGTTCAGAACCAGAAGTGTAAACTGATGCTAATTTATACAAGACTAAACCATTTTTGTCAAATTTAATTTGCTCAGTTAACTGACTTCATAAAATTTGATGAACCAGAATAAATAATTGTTCACGCTGGAATGGCTTACCTTGCCTTTAAAGTTTGAGGATTTTTTTAAATTGATGACTATTCTGAGCTACACGCGCAATATAAAACTCAGAATTAGCATCCTGTAATTTTTTTGATGAAGAAATCCAAAATTTTGAGCAGGAAATTAACTGTGGTGATTGTACCTTCAGAGGTAACAAGCTTTTTACTTTACAAAACCCTGATTCCATAGCCTAGACTAAAGAAAGAGGGTGGGAGAGGAGGGGATATAATTTCAGTGGTGTTACTTTTCATTATAATGCTTGTGGAATTTCTGGTTAATGAAGATGATAAATGCTGGTCAGAGAATTTGTGTCACAATAGACAAGTCTATGGGTTTTTTCCTGGTAAAGAGATCTCTTTTTTTTTTTCCTCCTGCAAGTTTTTTTTTCTTCTTAACATTGTATTTGGCTGTGTGTTGTGTGTAGGAAATTCCACAGAACTGTACTTACATGTTTAAGGTAATTTGAGAGCTAACTAACATGAACAAAGCAGTAAACCAGTCTTAAGAAAAGAAGCCTCCATAGCCAGGGGCAGATGACCTTACAGAATTTTAACTATGCAGGGGTTAATATTTTTCCCTGATTTGCTCTAATAAAAGAAATCAAATCAGACATGAGGATGTTTAAATATTACAGAAGTACAGGAGTCCTGTCATGAAGAGGTTATCAAGGATATAGTAAGGTGGCATAATGGAATCAAACTTGTCAAAAGCAAATGCAAGGTCAGATGTCTCAAAGTCTCAGCATTTTAGTTTTGTTTCCATCTTTTTTTCTTTTTGAAGATATGCACTGTAGGATATCTCTGTATCAGTAAAATTATGTAACCACAAAAAGTGCAACATGCTCAAGGCTAAAACAGTTTTTAAATTGTTCACTAATTATTAAGCCCCTTTTCCTTGCCTTAGACTTCTTTATTTACTTTAAATAATAGGTTGTCTTAAAGTGGAATTGAGAGTGAAAAATTAAATTTTTTTAAAATGTTAGTTATGTTTAAGCTGTTTGCCTCTGCTTCTGGGGCAAGGGGAGGGGGTGGCTAAAGGAGATGTCTGAGCGAGAAAAGGAGTGCACTTACTATTTCCTACAAGGTTTTTTTTAAACCAGGAGAGGGATACTAACAAGGAGATTTTCTAAATCAAGGAAAAGCTGGGAAACTGTTTTTGTACATTTCTGAAGAGAATATTATAAACCTAAATCTTGCTTATGCTGGGATCAGGGTTAAAATCAGTAATTTTTGTTTCTAAATTTCTTTCTTTAGAGGGAAGTAGAGGGCAGAAAGGTGCATAAATTGGATGAGAAGTAGGTAAGATGTGGAGAAAGGGAAGGACAGGTAAAGAGGTAGAGCCAGTGAGTGATACCTGTGTTCTCAGAACTAGTGCACTTGAGCAACAGTGAGCCTGTCAGCCTCCTGTTTTCTAGTGGAGAATGATTGCATACAAAAAGCCATGAAAAGGGTCTTTCTGTAATACAGACTTGCAGTAGTTATCTACTGAACCTAAAGGGAAGCCTTCTACTACCCACCCTTACACAGCCTCTGATACGGAATAGTTGAGAGATGATCATAAAATGCTGAAGCAGTGCTCCCTTCTTAGAGACTTGGGCAGCAGCTGAATTGACAGTATCAGTTGGGAAGAATTGCTAGCAGTGATTTCAATGTTAATAAAAGCAGGTATCAAGTAATACCAGATGATGGGGTATCAAGTTTCTGGCATTAAGCTTGAAATACTTTTGTCTCCCACCTCGCTATCCCTTTGTGCTTCCTGGTTCTTACGCAGCTGGAGTTCCACAGCCTTGCTGACCAGCTGCATGGAGTGAGTCCTGGAGGACAGGAGTAGCTGCTGCCGGAAGAGCAGTGTGCTGTCCTTGAGCACAGGACTGCATTTTGTACTAATCAGATGTTAAACTCCTAGCAGCTCCTGAGTCATTTGTGCTTATAAAAATACACAACTCTTTCATTTTTGAATTCCACTAATTTGAGGCCAAGTAAAGAAAGTATTCCTGTGGAGTCAGCTGACTATATAAATAAATTACACTTGTGCCTTTATTTAGAGACCAGCATTTGAATTTTACCTAATTCTTGCTGTGGAAGAGTGGTGATATTTGAGTTTATTTTCTTGTCACTCACTTGATTTTTTTTCTTCTTTTAAGGTTTTTCTCACTTGTTGAGTTGGGATGCTTCAAAACTGGTGTTTATTTTATGTGCATGGTCTCCAGAGGAAGTTTCTGTTATTTCTCACAATTATGTTAATATATTATTTTACAAGGTCAATACTGCAGCAGTATAATGACTTTTTCCTTTTTAGGATCTTAACATGCACCTTGAAGATAAAGTCTACCTGGCAGGAAACATTTTCACCTTAGCAGACATTTTGATGTACTATGGATTGCATCATATCATGGTAAGTGTTATTTGCATTATTTTTATATGTACAACTATCATAATTGCTGTTTATCTAAAGGACAGTTTATTATTGTAGAAGTTGTCCTGCCTAATTGATCAATGGCAGCTATGAAACAGAACAGGGAAAAAGAAAACTTGTTTTTTAAGTTGTTCATTTTAAACTTTAATATTTAGCTATTGACCTGCCAAAAGAAGTGTACTGCTTGTAGTGTCCAGACATGACTGCTTACAGAGCTACATGGGGAAATAGCTAAGTGAAACTGAGAGGATGTGTCAGAACTGAAAGGACTAACCCTTGTTAGTATTAGAGAAATAAAGATGCATGTAAGTTAAGCTCCTGAAAGATGAATGCATATAAAAAAAATTTGAGCCATAACTAACTGTCATTTGTGTTTCAAGGCTTGACCGGTAGGACTTGATAACATGCATAATATGAAAATAACATGGGGAGTTGGTGCTTAGGAGGAAAAAAACCCAGTAAATAAAAAATAAAGTAAATAAAAAAGAAAACAGTAAATAAAAAATAAATTTGTCCTGAGTGGAGAGGATGTTGAGACTCTTTGTAGTCAGCTCAGGCTACCATGAAGTGCATAAAAATGGTTGTACTTCAGTTGTGAACCTCAAGTGTTAATTTAAAGATAAAGCAGTAAAAGTTATTTGCATTTTGGTGGCTGCAATGTGTTTGTAAATGAGCCATTGTCTTCTCTGGGGTGGGTGCAACTAAAGAAACCAAAGGACTTATACAAAAAGGTCTACTAAACTCTTGGGAGAGGATGAAATCAGTCAGTTTTGACTTAGAGAATTGTGGGAGAGAAGATAATCAGAGGAAGATGTCTCTGACAAATGCACATGTGTCTTAGAATCAGTGAATTCAGTCAACTGGGTGAACGGTTGCTTTTATATAATTAAAAGCAGAGCTCTGAGAGAAGTGGAAGAATGCTGCATTTCAAACTGGAAGCAGAGGGGAGGGGGAATCAAGTAGTGAAATACTACCAAACATGAGAGAGAGCTTAGGTACCTGTATCTTGACTGTCCAGAAGTAAAAGTTCAAATGAGAGTGTCAAAACAGAGGAGAAGAAAATGAAGCTTAATTTCAGAAGGTTTTTGAAAACCTGCTAGAGTAAGTCACTTAGAATTAATTCTGTTAAACCGTATTTGCCTTGTTAAATATCTTTAGTAGGATAGGTACGTTGACTAAAGTGTCAGAATAGGTTACCTTTTACATGTAATATGCAGACATAGAAAAAATTTAACAGTACTTTTTAAAAATATGACTCTGTGTGCTGTAAGAGAGTAAGTTCAAATGAGACTTTTAAAAAAAACTTAGGCAGGGGAAAATCCAAGCAGATTTTAAATTTAGAGTTTGCTCTAGAGTAGACCACCTAATCAAGAAGAAAAGATACAAGTTATTGCTCTGGGAAATAGAACAGATGGTAAAAACAAATGACTTGGTGCTCCTGGGTGCCTGCAACCATCCAGATACTACTTGGGACAAGTTTATAGTACAGCATCTGTTTCTGAAATGTTTGATTTCATGGAAGATAATTTTCTGAATCAGAAGGGTATAAAGGGCAAGTAATGGGGTGAATAAATAGGAATGGGGTAAATAAATAGGAATGGGGTAAATAAATAGGAAAGTGTAGAAGCTGCTGACTAGGAATTATATGTATTTTGAAGGTTTCTGAATTGATTAATATTAGTACTTACCTACAGAGACAAGCTCTTGAACTGTAGAATCCTGTAACTTTTTTTAAAATTATTTTTATCTTTAATGAGAAGAGAGTATGTCCAGCACTGCTGCTCTGCCCTAAGCTTTATGGGGGAGGCAGGGAAAGCTGCTGTATCTCTGTGTGACGTGGTCCAGGGAAGCAGTTTGTTATATCACCTCTTCAGCTAAGCCTTGTGCAATATATCAATAAATGTTTCCTATAATCCTCTAAGAAAGGAGGTAGAAATGGGAGACATGGGGCATAGGGGAGACCACAGATCTCGCTGTCCCTTAAGTTGTCTAGAAAATTGATCTAAAAATGTTACTGATAATGACGTTCAAGGTTAACCTCTGTGCTTCTGATACTCTAAAAACTACATGCCAACACAGACATGAGTAATAGAATACTGTAAATATTACCAGCATACCATGATCATCCTTAATAAGCCAAGTAGTGAAACTTTAAAACCCTTCTGGTGCACATTTCATTGGAAAGGTTTATATGACCACCCAATCCTATTGCTCAGTTCTTCACCTGTGGTACCATCTTCCTTAGTGTTCCTGAGTATAGGTCATGCCTCTTCGTATTCATTCCCTCCTCCCATCTTCATTTTGCCCTCCCCATTATCCATGAGGGGTTCTGGAGTCTGATTCTTAACTGTCCAGGCTCATCCATTTGAACTGACCAATTGGTTTGTCTCCAGAACAGGAGCAACTGTTAATTCTGCTGCCGTGTGCCTGCCTTCATTCTCCCTGTCCCTTCTAGTTAGCTTAATGAGCACAATAGCACTAGGTGTTTAAAAATCCATATTGTGGGAAAGGAATTTGTATGTTAATCAGAGAGAGTCACACAGGTAGTTTCAGGCTTTTTGCAGGCAGAGTCGATTTTGAGTCTATTAATTAGAAATACATACTTGTAAGGCAGGAACTAAATTGTATCCATTGTTGTCTTGCATCCTAATGTAGGTCACAGACACTCAAAAAGTAATGCTTGATACTAACTGCCTTTTCAATCAATTACATTGTCATATTTAATTGATGTCTCTGTTACATATAAATATTGTCATCTTACAGACATTTCAGTTAAATATATATGTGAATATATATGATGAACAATGAAGTTACACTAGGTTAAAGCATAGATTGCAGGGAAAACATGCATTTGGAAGCATTGCTTGAGGATAGCTCAGGCAATCAGTAAGCATTAAATTCCCCCTGTGGTAATGAATTTGCTTTCCTATCCTTTTTTTTTGTTAATTTTAAAAGTTTCCCAATGTGTTTATTCTTAAGTATTTTCAAACAGCACAAGTCTAGTTCTATTTGAAGAAAAATAATCAATACAAAGATTGATCTGCTTTTATGCTTCAAAAATGTCAGAACCAAAGAATTGGTCTCAAATCTATATGTCTGACTTGAAAATTTCTTTAATAAGGTCTAGAAATAACTTATGGGTATAATTTATGTCTGCAAATGGAAGAAGCGTCAGTCAAAATTCTGGGGTCAATTCGAATAGTCAAATACAAAACAAACTAGGCTGCTCTCCTTGAGTCAGAACCACTAATATTGAACTATAATAAGACTGCAGCAGCAGTTTATTTTCTAGTTGGCTTTTTCCATAATGTACATTTGCTGTAATAAACAGATTGCCATGAATTTTTGTTAATATTCACTGATAGGCTGCTTATTTTAGTACTGAGACACAGGATTTCCTTCTAAAGAATGATGCTAAAAATAGTTCTTAAACCGAATTACAAAAAAAACTGTTTTAATTTAAAGATTTAATTTTAAGCCTATTCCTTTAAGAGCAGAAAATTAGTCAAAACTACTTGAAAGCACATGTAATTCATGAAATACACCATCCAGCTGATGGTTTTTTTCTCTTAGATCTAAAGGCTAAGTTTAAAAAGTGAGATAGTAGCTTGTCCTTTTCTGGAGGCTGAAGAGCTGCCGATGTAGGGGAGGTATTTTTAGACTTGCCATGCACTTGCAGGATGTGGGAATGGGAGTTTATACCTCCATCCCGAGTGCTGCCAAAAGCAAATATAATTAAAACTTGTGTATTTGTAGCCCTTATAGAAACTCTTAGGGTTGCATCGTATGATGACTACCCTTGGCTCCCCTTTGTGAGCTTTGTGGTGGAAGAACAAGACTTCTTTTTCTTTTTTTTCATGACATGGAAAAAGAACCCTGTCAAATTGACTGTCTGCTTCTTTGCTATTAAAATAATTGCTTTAATAGCAAATAATTATTTTAACAGCAGAACAGCAGCCTTTCTTAACTTGGGGAATTATCTAATTTAATGAGGAAGAACAGAAAATACCCATCTAACAAAATGTTGTAAAAAAAATGCCATGGAAGTGATCTCTAAACAATTAACCTAAGAGTTATGTTCCGAGTAAAAAGTAGAGCATGCCACAGAGTGCTTTTTAATATATTTCACTGATAGAGTACATTATGTAAATAAGTAAAAATATCTTGCTTGTTGTGCCTAGAGTACAAAAAGGGGGTTTATTATTAGAGTAGCTGTCTGTTTTGCCCTTCAGATGTTTTTTCAGTATGCTAACAGAATGAAAGAGGACTATTTTTCCAGGCTTTTACTTTTGATTTACATTTGAGAAATGCAAAGATTGAGAATTGTCAGTATAAAATTATGGGGAGGAAATACTGTATCTGCTGCAAAATCTGCAGTTTAGTTCAGCATTTTCATAACCAAGTGCTTACACATTAAAGACTTTGAAGAAGGTTATTATGAACTCAAGGAACTTAAAATTGACAGTATTTTTAGTATCTGCTCATACTTAAATACTTTTCTTCATTTTCAGTAATTTCAGATGGCCTTAGACTACACATTGTTCTTTTCATGCTCTTTGTTAGTTTGTAAATGGTTCTACAGCTTCATACCAAGCATCAGCTGCCAACTACCATTAATTATAACACACTGCAGGTGATCAAAAGCATCTTCCTCTGAATGGTACTGCTTTTTTTTCGGTCCTGAATGTACTGTACCAGCAGAAACTCAGGCAATTCGTGAAACACTTGGTGGTGTATTTTAATAGCTTCCACTTTTTGCTTGTAATGCCTTTAAAAATTCCAGAGGTTTGTTGTTTTTTTTCTCCCTGTTAGTGTTATCTTCCACTTGGTTAATGCCAATAACTCCTGTGTTTCTAGATGAGCAAAAATTATGTGGCTGGTTTCAATTGAATTTTCTGTGCATTTCTATCAGACTACACAGCTGTAGGAATATTGTTTACATTTCCATGCCAGCAGCAAGAAAAGCAGATTTTCTTATACTATCTGAACTGGGGTTCATAAGAGTTCAAAATTGCAGTTGTTTTGGAAATACATGTGCAGTGCTGTGCTTGTATTCTGGCAGGTAAGTTCAATAGGAGAAGCAGCTACTTGAGTTTGGGAGCAGCTGCGAGATACTTGCTTTTTGGTTGCCACAGTTCCTATGCTCTTAACTTCTTATTAGTAGAGCTTTAATGTTATGTGGCATTGGTTTAAATTCCTTCCTGCAACTCCTTGAAATTCTTTGTTCTCGGTATTTTCCCACTGGTTCATCTTCTAGAATATGCCCTTATTTTCTTTTTGCTGCTACACATGTAAAGCTTCCCAGTTCAAAGCCAAGTGCTGGGCTGCGTAAGAGAACAGCAAGGAGAAGCAGCAAATGTTATAGGCAACACTTGAAATCCAAAGGGTGCTGTGTCACAAGGTGAAATTTACCATGAGACTTTGTTTTAAACAGCAGCTCTTCACTTGTGTGGCTCAGTAAATGAGTATGTATAGCTCTTCCTGTGGTCTGAAGTTTGTGGAAACAGATTTGTTTCCAGCTGTCCTGTGCCCAAGACCAAATTCGCAGTGAACCTGAGGCATCCATAAAATCTACTGTTTGTAGGACAAAGCATAAGGAATATGCCATCTGTTTAGGCTTCTGTGGGGGGGATTAACCTTGATTAGCTTTAGAAGTCTAAACGTGAAAAATATTAGGCATGTCTGGGTAGTGATTTGTGTGTTAAAACTGTCCTCCACAGATATGCCCTTTGTCACTGACTGCAGGCATTGTCAAGATTAAGTTAAGTTAACCTTGGTGGCTAACATGGCTAACTGAACATGAAGTGAGGTGTGTCCCACACTGATTGCTTTCAGAATTGGCGAGATAAGATAGGGGAGTTGATGTGAAGATCACATTTTGTTCCTGATGCAGGTTTTGTAGTCTGTTTTGAGGACTACCCCATTTGTAATTCATTTGTAGCAGGTTAATGTGAGGAAAGAGATTATTGTCTAAACTGATAAGATACTTGATTACAGAGGAATAAAAAGAGACATAAAATTACTAATCAGGGAAAAGTAATACAGGTGATACAGGATGGCAATAGTTCTTCTACAGCTGGCGTGAAAAACTCCGAAATAATAACAGACTTTGTAGCAAAGCTTTGAGGATGCTGCTGACCTGGACTTGGAAGACTTAAAGGTAGAGTTGGGATCTGTAGCTGTAGATAACTATATCTGAGCCAGTCCTCTGATTAAAGATAGGCTTGAAGCTCTACATGAATCTTGGACACAATTCCTGTGGCAAGGAGCTGTTGCAATAGCTGTGTGATAGTTGCAGGCTTCTTCCTGACTAATCTTGCAATAAGCAAGTGACCATGCTGTTTATTTGAGAACTCTGGGGAACAACAAGACCTCAAACTGTAGGGCGAAGTGATAGTACTAAGTATGGACAGGTTTCCAGTTTGCTTTCCTGTAGTAATTTGAATGGTGCCATTGCTGTCTTAGTAATGTGAGCGAGCACATCTGAACCGTTAGGTGTTAAGCTATGCTGATTCTTAGTAACTATTTCATTTTGAGCGTTAGTCATACAAAACAACTTCCATTTTTTCTATCCAGTCTGATACTGCCTAAAAAAACCTTTATTGCTGTACCTACAATACACCTTGAAACACAAAGTAGTCACTTTGCCTGTGAGGCAAGAGCATCTGCTAAATCAGCGTGAAAGTGTTGTGCATGTTGTAGAACTCCTCCCTGCACCCCTCACTGTGTGCTAACCCCATGAATAGATGCATTAAAATCAAGCAAGCTTTTCCCCCTTCTCTATCATCCAAATGTATCTTCCACCCTCCAGGTCCGTCTTTTTGAGTAAGTTAAAAGTTCATACATATTTTGTCCTTGAATTTTAATATGTGAAATTAAGATAGAATAGTGCTGGACTGTAACAACTTAGGAGAGTTTATATCATTTGTAAAACTATCCACTGATATTACTGGTATTACTGATGCCTTTTATTTATTCCCCGTGCAGGTGGACCTCACAGTGCAAGAAAAGGAGAAGTACCTCAATGTGTCTCGTTGGTTCAGCCACATTCAGCACTACCCTGGTGTCCGGCAACATCTGTCCAATGTCGTCTTTATCAAGAACAGATTATACACTAATGCTCATTAAGGAAAATCTAAATGTTGTGTTGGAAGGAGGTTTGGGAATTTAGAAGTTATACTGTCCAAAGCCACTAACTTGAAAACATTGTTTTGTAACCATCCGTATGTGAACCAAAACTGTTAATGCCTCAAATAATACAATTGCATTGAATTGCTGCTGTTCATTCAAGAATTTGAACTCAAGAATTGTATCATGTGTCTGATTAAATGCCACAATGGTAGAAAGATGGAAATGGAGTTTCAATTCACTATTTTAAAAAAAAATATAAAGTTCCTTTAATCAAACATTCATGTGTAATTACATGATCTTTACAGAAAATAATTGCTTATTTTCCTTCAACTGTTCACTCCTTCTGCTATTTATTGAATTTCTATGTATGTCATCCCGCTTCCTTTTCATTTTGTTTTCCATGGATGTTTACACTAGTTTTGTAAAAGTTAAGAGCTATATTGTGTGCCAAGGATGTGAAAAAAGGGAACATGCAAATGTTACAAAGTATTTATGTGACCGAATAAATTATTTTAAAACAGTAGTTTTAATTTGGCTGTGAAGCTTTCTAGTTTTTCTTCAGTAAAGAAAATGAAGGTTTTTTCAAAGGTTAGCTCACTTGCTACTTCATTTTGTGGTACACTATTTTGAGTCTAGAAACATTTTCTTTCAAACTGGGTAGCAAAGTTTAGTGTTCTTAAATATTTTGTGTTTGCCTCACTTCATTTTTCACACAAGTGCAAATTCAAGTTTCAAGGTTGTAAAAAAGGCAAACAAAACTAAAATTAAAAAAAAAAACCCTCCCAAAAAAAAAAGCGCCAATCAAAAACCTCAAGATAATGAACTTATCAATGTTCACTATTAGTGTTTTAAAGTTTTTGATTCAGATATTTGGACAGGTCATTTTGTTGTAAAATGTGGTCCCTCTGTTTTTATTAGTAGTAGTTTTAAATTTATTATCTTTAATTGATTCATTACCTTCTGTACAATTCGGTTAACATTTCTTTTAATACCTAAAAGAAATACATACTGTGGTATTTTAATTCATAAATCAACTTCTTCGTTCAGTAGAGAACTTCACTTGTATATTAACTTGTGTTCTACTTTAGGAGCCTCCCACCCAGCTGAGCATTTTGAATGTTACAAGTTCTTAAAAAAAAAAAAAGTAGGTAGGTAATGAGACAAGCTAATTAAAATATATCCTGACACAAATGGGCACAAGAAAATTGCAAGAGTAAGTGTAACCTGGACAATTCCAGGCTCTAATCCTGTATATACAAAATTTCTTTATAGTGTGTTTACAGGTACATCAAGTTACTTTCAGAATGAAAATACTTAATTTCAGAAAGTTCTCATCCTTTCCCAGGGGGCTTAATTCTCACTTTCTACCATGTCTCCTGTTAGCTACTCTTGTTCCTTGGTATTTAGAAGCTCTCGTTGCACACTTAGTTCCCAAGATCTCACCGAACTCTTAAGGTCTGTTCAGGAATTGTGGATGTGCTTTAGTATAAACATTTATCAGAAACATTGCTCCAAACTTTTTGTATTTCACTAGCCAAGAGCTTCAGGTGTTTACTGTCAGTGCTTGTATTCTTAATTCCCAATTAATTCAAATACTTATTACCCAGCGGCATGTGTAGAAGTGAGTTTGGTTTTTCCCCTCACTTTGTGGGAGCAAGTGGTGGTAAGACTTAGAAAAATACCTGTTTTAAATACTTTTTTTAAATTCTACTTCAATGAACTGTTCTCTGTTTCAGAAGGGAAGCATGAGTGAATCATCAGTGCATTTGGTCAGAGTTTGGGGAAATTTCACATTTGTCTTACAGATTTCTTTTTATCTCTGCTATTGCAAGTGACAATGATTAAACTTTTGTAAAGTGTATGTGCAAGCCTTTGTCCATGAAAATAGCAGCATTGCAGCTGAGAATGCTGAAATGAAGCCAGAGCTAAATATTGCTGAAAACAATGCTGTCATCTGTTCAAACAAGTTGATGCTACAGTGTCTTTTTTTTTTTTGTCTTTTTTTTTTTAATCCCAAACAGCTGCTGTTTCCAAGTGTTGGGATTTCTCAAGGTGGCTACATGTTACTGCTGCAGTATCCCCTAGCCTCTTGTGCCAGTTTTATTTTCTCTGGTGTAGAACAGAAGTGTTACTTGCTGCTGAAATGTTAAAAAAAAAGTTCACCTAGCAGATGAAATGTTTGGAAGTGGATTAGTAATATTTAACTCTATGCTATCTAAAAGGCATTTGGTTGTTATGATGTGATAACTTGAGCATTTCAGTTTTCTCTCCACTGTATGGAGAAACTTAAGGGGATAGAGAGGGTTAAAAGCAAAGAAGGATGAATTGAGACTTTGCCTTTGGAGAGATGACTGGGAAAACCAGATGGTATTGATTTTTCTCCCCTCTCCCCCTTTCTGTCTAATGCCTTTTGATCAAGGACAACTAAATTTCTAAAAAAACCTATGAAAAAACACATGAATATAGCTGAGTCTGAGGCTGTATAAGGTACATATTTTACAATGATGCTTCATATCATTTACAGATGAGGTGTAGTGTAGTGTGAGCTCTCAGTATCAATGGTCTGTATAAAGGGTGTGCATGGGCAAATATTCTGCTGTTTTTAAAGCTATTTCCACTTGTCTGTCATATTTTATTATACTTTCACCGAACATCTGTAAAAGACACTCTCCTCCCTCGTAACCCCTTTCTCCTTTCTTAAAACTTCAGTTGCTGAAGGGCTCTGTGATTCTGTTTTACTTTTGTTGCTTCGCAGTTTGATGATGATGATGACCACAGTGATGTGTGGAATTTATTTTCACAGCATTTCATGAACAGTGACACTTTCATTTGTTAATGTATCTCATCACCGCAGTATTATTATTTTGCATAATTGTACTAATATATTCAAGGGGCCTGACATATTATGGTCTTTTAAGTATGTGCCTCTGGGACTTGAGGTTGTTGCCATATGGTGAGATAGTGCTGCATGACAACCTTTCAGCAACTGAAGAATTCAACAGTGAAATAAATATGATAATTGTAAGTGTTCAGTGAAATCTTACACTTCCCACTTTGACTTGTCTTTTCCCCATGATGCTAAGATGACTACTGCTTGCAGACAAGGCAGGTTGAAACAGGTGTTCAAGTATTGCATCAGATGTGTTCGAAATGTGCTTATGATTTTTACTCATCTTTGTATGTGTAACTTCATTTTTAAGTGAGAGTTCAGTTTGACTTCCAAAGTCTCCAGGGGTAGTTCTTGCTCTGAGACTTATAACTAAGCAACAATAATTTATAGAAAAATCCAGGTTAATATGGAATGAGTAGAAATGAGAAATTTGGGAAGATTACACTGAAAAAAAAGCTGAAGTAGCCCTTCTAGGAATTTCTTCCTACTATCTGACTCTTTGGAAGAACATAGGCATAGAAATAGGGAGCTTAATTTTTGTGAGGTGCATCTTTCCAATAGGTGTTATAGCTCATTGGAGTATCCTGATAAAATAATGTTTCACTTTCTTTCTCTCTCTCTCTCTCTCTCTCTCTCACACACACACACACACACACATTAATTTCAATTATAACTGATGGAAGATTAATCTGGACTCTTCAGTGTGGGTGTGGATCCTGCATTATTAGCAGGGAGCTGAGACACTAAGTAAGGTTTAATATAGATGTACTTTGCAATTCAAATGAGACACAGTATTTATGTTAACTATCTTATATAAAAATGTGATTTAGAAGTGGTTTTGTCCATGAAATGCACCTGAGTAACATTATAGATGAAGGAGCAGTAGAACTTGGACCTCTTTATTCTCCTCTTGGTTAGAAAGCAATAATGGTCAAAACTCTGCTTGTCAGTGTTGTAGATTTGGAAGAAGTGGAGGGAGTACTTAAAAAGAGATAGCTGAGAGAGATGAAAAAAAGGAATAGATGGAACTGAAATCATTATCAAGAAATCCAGTGTAAGCTCTTCTATTCAGAAGTTTGGTTCATAATCTTTCTGATCTTGCATCTTCTGTTTGCATCTCTGCCAGGTGATCTATGCATTGTCTGCTACATGAATGTTGAAGTTGGGAATAGATTTTTCTCCACATAAATTTGCTTGGTATGGCCATAAATTGATTTTATAATTGTATGTGTATACAGAAGCCAGTATGGGGTTTTTTTCTACCTTTTTTGATTATTTTTTTTCTGAGGCATTAGTAAGCCTATTTGATTTTTTTTCCCCTTTTGGTTTTTAATCTTATCACTTCTTTTAATCTTTGGTGTGTTTCACAGTCTTTAACTTCAAAGTGTAATTGCAATGATGCAGCTGCTTAATGGATTGCTACATTTAATATTTTCCCCCTAAGAGCAGTATTTCTTCTTCGCATCCATAATTGGATCATGCTGCTGCTGTCCCTGATGGAAATGTCAGGTTTCATATTCACCATACACCTGAGCACATGCTTACTCACTTGGTAATCTTAATTTTGGGGGGGATTAATCGAAACTGAATTGTACTATGCACACTTTTTTTTTTTGTGCTTGAATTTTATTGCAGAAGAAATGTGAGAGGAGATGCCTCTTGCTGCGCTGAGCTTTTGGATTCAGACTGGGTCTTTGTATCCCACCGCCGCATGTCTTGAATGTTAGATTTATAGTACTTCAGAGCCCAGCTGCAGGGCAATATATAACAATATCACAGATTTGGGAGGGGGGGATTGATTTTGTAGCAAGCATTACTTGTTGCTGCTCCGTGCACGTTCCTGCAGGCGTGGCCTTTATTTTCCGTGCTGGTAGTGACTACAGCCACGGTGGCTGCCACAGAACACCGCACATCCCATCTCTCTGCAGGCAGGCAGGAGGTAAGTAATTTTTCATTGTTGCTACATCTGAAGGATTCCCCTTTCCCCTCCCATGCTACCTTGGCCCCTTTAGGAAGATTTCCATCTATTAAACTTTCCCTTCTCTGTTGGATGAACTAAATCTCTTTCAGCATATTCAGTCTGGTGATCTAATTTGACAGCTCGTAGGTGATGTCTATTCCTCTTCAAAGAGGCAGGTAGCCCCGGGCTAGCCAGCTGCATTGTGGATTCTGCAGATTTGGCTTGCTGTTCCTGCTGGGTGTCATCTGTCTTCTTAGTCTTGGCGGTGGATAATTTTTGTCCTCCCTAGCATCATCTGCCTGA